TTTTTTTTTCGAATGTACGTCAACCCTTCTTATCGTTCACATTGAATGGTATCTAGCAAGTTCGTGCTGTTGGACTTTCGCTTGCTAGTTATCAGTTTAGATGTTTGATGGTGGCCACTATAGTAGCGATGACGATGACGATGACGATGAACTTCATCTTTATGGCAATGAAAATGCACCAGCTCAAGATGTCGCAGTCGAAAACGTGATTGACGAGGATTCTGCGGATGAATTGGCTGCCTTGGATGCTGCTGTTAACGTGTGTGCTTCTTGTACTTTCCTATGCCCTTATAAATAATATTCAGCATAACATTCGAAATGGCGTCAGACAGTTTCTCCGAATCTTAAGCCGAAGGGTTAGTGCCGGTAATCGCGCTATCAATGTTGAGCATGATTCTTCCGATGAAACAGGCGATGAAGATGAAGAACCCGAACAAGAAGCACACGATGGCGAACCTAATAGGAATTTTGATGTGCATGTGAGTCGACCTTGTAATCGTCAAATTAAATTTACCTGGATCTCGGGTCCTTTTCAGTCACAGCTATTTAGGAATCCTCCAAGCATCAGTATTTGTTCAAACCAGCACATGCCTCAGAAGAAGTTGATATGGGAGCTACGATGTGGCTTCAGCCTGGGAAGGAACACCTTGTACCCTTCATAAGTTGGGATTTGGTTGTCTTACCAGGTTAGAATGTTTTCGCAAATATGAGTGCAAAAATATCATACTTGAGATGACTTTCTCATGACAAACTTTGTTGATGACTACCTGATTGCGTCTTCTGAAGCAGTAGAGATTTGGTTGATTATTGGGAGTGTTGAAATCCCACATCAGAACGATGTCCTTTGGATATTTAGGCGCTATTGCAGTATCTGGGCCCCAAAATCTTTTGACGTAGATTTTGTTGAAACTTGCCTCAAGGAGGTTTTTCGGCCCGCTGAGCTGAATATCACATTGGTTTTGCACTACCGTTTTCTGGGGTTACGGTTGGTATATGGTAGGGGGTCAAAATCACGGAGTTCGCTGAGACTTGGCCCAGCGGGGTGATTCGACATGCTGATCACGAATATCATGATTTCCTTGCGGTTTGAGACCTTTCCAAGGAGTTATGGTAGGTGATGGTAAGGGGCTCAAAATCATAGACCTGCTTGAAAATCTGTGCAGAGGGAGTATGGGGCTTGCCATCGCGAACACCATGCTCATTTTGCATGATAAAGCTTTTATATGATTTTGTGATCTAAATTGGCCCAAAACGGGAATAATGTCCATTCTTGCTGCAAATTATCGTAAACAATAAGGCACTCAAAGTGCAAGTAT